ATTCTAGACTTTATCTCTAAAGTTCTTAGGTGGGATAATGAATCTTCTTCATTTTGAAACTCTTTTTAGTTTTGTGTTACTTTGCACTGATCATGGCCTAACATATAATCAGTTTCTCACTACCTTTATAGAGAAAATTACACTCAATATAATGGATAGTCAATGTTAAATAATTAATAATCTAAATTATATTTGCTTTATTTTTGTTTTATTAAGTCTTTACTAATGTTTAATTAATTATGATGGGATAAAAATGTGAACCAATCTAGTAGTATCTAAAAACTCAACTTTTACTTAAACATTTCACCAGAAATTTCAGTGTAAGCATAGCATAACATAGAGTTTTTATCCTCCCCCTTGCTGAAACACAAAGCATCCTTCATAAATTGAGATTTCTGTGACATAAATCTGCATGTGGCTAATAATACTATTCATAAATAAGAAGTATGGCTACTTTGACAGACCATGGCTCAGTAACAAACACGCAGGTCTAAGTTATCACATAGTTTGGATGTGAATTCAACAGAAGGATAATGACAGTTGCCAAGGATTTGTACTTGCTGTCACTTCATACTAGTGTTGCCTGTCAAAATGTCTCTTTTTCTTATACAGAAGCCATAGAATTTTTATGGATAGCAATTACTTACAATATACAATGAAGTACATCAAATCTAACAACCACTCTTTAGCCTTTCATTATCTGGTAGACTCTTTGTTAAATGTAGTCAACCATTTTCATCTAAAATTATTTATTTATACTGTATATTTGACAAGCATATATTTCTTGCTTTATATTCTAATAGCATTTGAACCTTCCTAAAGAGTTATGTGGCTTTTTTAATATTATCATTTGTAAAACTTGTCTTTATCCTATTACATTTTAATGGTAATTAAACTTTCTAATTGGAATATGTACAAATAAGAAAATAGAAACACAAAGGAAAATGGCCAGAAATATTTTCAATAATGTCACAAATTTGAAATAATGAAATGCAACCAATAAAAGAAATAATCTCATGTTTGATGAATGCAATCTTTTTCAATATCTCTGCAGTACACAAAGCACAAAGACTTCATTAAACTTCATACTGTCCTTTCCTCAACTTGCTTAAACAAATAACTTCCAAAGATATAAATAACTTTCTACAATTTCTCTGATAAAATGTGATTTAAACACCATAGAGAGTAAATAAGTGATAATAAAATTGAGCAATTCTCCACAAATTTTATTTCTAGCATCAAAGAAAATATAATTTTAGTTTAGCCTAGAAATGTTGGTAAAGGTTTTTCAATTGCAGAGCCATCTCAGGTTATGTGAACACATAATATGTCAAATTTTTACTTGCAACTCAATGTCTGGATAACAACCAATGTATTACATTCAAAATACAACCCACACCCCCCCACACACAACACACACACACACACTCCAGATAGAAGGCAGCCAAAAATGCTTGTTAAATTAAACTGGCTTGTTTTTACACACAAAAAAAAATACTAAACAAGAAAAACAATTCCAAAGATTCTTAAAGACCCATGTGAGTATATGATCAGGGGAATAAAACATTCTGCCTAAAGAAATAAAAGAATATTTTTGCATGTGCAAAAGTAAAAAACTAAAAATAAGTTACATCTTAAATCTAAAACTGGGAGAGGATATATTTATATCTTAAATATAAAACTATTATGTTATAATGTCTATAATATAATAGATATTATATATAACATTTTCCAGCAGAAACTTAAATTTTCCAAAAGGAATAATGTTCTAGTCTCATTATTATTTAAGGGAAACAACATGCTACTGTTTAATTTTATAGAGACTTTTTTTAAGTCTTGATGGAAAAAATCAGAAAAAAATATATGAATTAAAGAAAGTGTATGGTTTGGAAACAGTGAAGATATAGCATTGCTTCATTCACTCTTGTCTCCCCTCATTCCCTTCTGCCATCATTCCATGATGAGAATCAACAGCTCACCTTTGAAATGATGAAATCAATAAATTTATACTGTCCTTAGAAAAGGCCATGTTTCCAAATGTTTATATTTGATAAAAAGTCAAATACTCAATCCAATTGCAATACCCAAGATGAGTAAAATGACATGAAATGGGACCAAATAGAGGAGGTGTCATTAATATTCCTGAAATCAAGCTCATCTGTAAAAACTCAGCCCTGATAATCTGCAATAAAAAGTTGTTGGTAGTCACTTTATAACTGATTTAAGTCCTCATTTAATGTACTAGAAGGAATTTCCTCCTCAGGGAAATGTAAGAGTTGGTAATATACTAAGCTGCCAGTAGAATAAGATATACTATAATATTCCATTATAAAAATCATGAAATTACATTTCTTATATGATTGTCAGCTAAAAATCACTAAAAGTATTTTATATGTGGAATAGAAAGATATGTTATTATAATATTTTCTTAACTCTAAAATCAAATTGTCATTTGGAAATCTCCTACTACAGTATTTAAAGATATATTTTATAAATATTGTGGAACCTGTTATGAATAAATAATTGACTTTGCCATCCACATCTCAAAGAATTATTCCCTATTCTGGACCACCTCAGAATACATATTTTCCTATTATTTCCTATTGTTCTTCTTTCTTGGAAGTAGCTACACTTTAGTATTCATCTGATCTCTAAAGGGTAAGTCTTAAAATGAGAGGATCAGACCACATTTACACTTTTGGTGTTAGTTTTCTTTGGCAGTGGGATCCTGGCACAACAGTTTTCACTGTATTACAAGCAAATGTAGATGGAATGACAGCAGAAGAAAAACACTGAAAGAACATGAAAAAGGTAAAAAACAAAAAGAAGGGTTTTTCACAAAAATATAATCAAAGGTAAATTAATAGTATCAGATAATAACATGAAAATACTGGTCACTGTATGACTCTTATAAGTAAATTTAATACAAATGCTTATTTTTTTTTGTCCTGCTCAGGGAATTTAAACCAGTGCCTAATTTTTCAATATTGCAAGCGATCAATTAGTAAAGATGCTTTTATCAGTCATGTTTTTGGGATTTGAACTTGAGGCAGACTATCAAGCCTGTACTTTTCTTACTATAAAATTATCTCAAAAGTGATATATGCTATTATATTCTAATTTAATTTGATGTAACACTTTAAGCATTAAAATTTGGTTATATCATTTCATCGCCAGACAGGAATTATTCTACTAAATTTTTGGATAAGAAGAGTGGAGGGGCTGAGGCTGTAGCTCAGTGGTAGAGTGCCCACCTTGCATATGTGAGGCACTGGTTTCAATCCTCAACACCACATAAAAAAATAAATAAAGAAAGATATTGTTTCAATCTACAACTAATTTTTTTTTTAAAAAAAGAAGAGTGGATACACCATCTAAGGCTAAACTGTTGACTGCAGCAGCTACTAGCTATGTGGCTGCATTTGAAATGTCCAAATTGTTTTTTTTTTGTTTGACATTAGTTTTATTAAATTCTCAAAACAATCCTATGAGACATTTTATTATTTTTCTCTAACTCAAGAGGTTTTTTTGTTTGTTTGTTTGTTTTGTTTTTTTATTTTTTTTTTGGTTGTTCAAAACATTACAAAGCTCTTGACATATCATATTTCATACATTAGATTCAAGTGGGTTATGAACTCCCATTTTTACCCCCAAATACAAATTGCAGAATCACATCGGTTACACAATAAGCAGAATGTGTTAATTAGTGAAGAAAAGCAGAGCTTCTATGATACCAGTAAAGGAAAAACACATTAACTATTTGAATAATTATTTCTCATAAAGAACATAAAAATGGTAGACAAAATGTGGCAAGGAAAACAAAAATGTTTTAACCTCAATCAAGAGAAAAATGCCTTTACTCAGAGAATATTACCTTTCTCTGATAATCATATCAGTACCAATAGAGCTTTCATTGTCATTAGCCTTTATGAACTTGACTTCTTTCAAGATGAAGATTATCATTTTCTTTCCCAAGAAGGTAAAAGATCTCAGAGTATTATCTTCAACATTCTGTTCTAGGTGTATCATAATCAAAGTTGATGGTAACAGGAAATAATGACAGAAAAGAAATTAGAATTCAAACAAATAAATAAAATAATCATGTTGAAATAACAAACTATTAAAAACAGAAGCAGGAAAATATCACATGAAAAGACTGATATATAATAAAAAGGACAAGGACACAAAGTCTGAGTTAGACTGAGAATAAAAAAAATAAAAGAAAGAAAAGGAGAAAGAAACAGAATAAATGAAAGTACATTTAGCTGTCACAGAAAAAAAATAATAAAGTTATTAAAATGAACAAACAAGAGATGGGATGAAAAGTAAATGATAATCATTTTAAGTTGAAAGTTGGAAAAATAAATTATAAAAGCAATAAAAAATCTGAGCAAAGAAACACTATATTAGGATTGACATTTATATAAAGAAATATTTAAAATCTTAGAGAAAAATTTTTCATTGTTTTATTGGGAGGAACATTTTCATGAGTAATTTAGTATCTACAATACAATATCCAAGACAGTGCAGTTAGAGCCAATTGGGTTCAAATCATACCTTTTCCACTTATTAGTGTGAGTCTAGTTAACTCTCTATGACTTTATCTTTTCATTGATAAAACAGAGATGTTTAGAATACTATCTGCCTATTTTCCTCTTAGGGTTGTTTTGAGAACAAAATTGAAAAAATGCAGGTGAAGAGCTAAGCAGTGGGGATTGATACATAACAAATATTAGCTGCCATTATTGATATAATTATTATTATATGTTCAAATCAGTCTCCACAAATAATTCATGTTTATTGATCATTTATCTTTTTTCTTCCCATCAAGAAATTGGGGACTGTAACCTAGACAACAATCTCCATAGCTCATCCCATCTTCACGTTACCATTTATATCACTTTAACCAAATACCAAATAAATATTTACATAGATAACTTCCTATAAGCACACTTAACTTATTTAAAATTCAGTTTAAGTTGATAAAATCATATTCATACCCTGGTATGTCATTCAAAATATATGTGTAAATTGGGTCCATAGTATTCCCATGCAAGGCGTCTACAGGATTGCTTTGTTGTGATTCCTCCACCACTTTAGTCAAGGGAGATAAAGGAGAGTGCGACAGTGTTTCCCAGTGATCATCTGCTTCTATTCTTGCCATCTGCAGTTAAGAATTATGAAGAATGATAGTTAATTTAAAATGTAAAATCCTCTTGGATTTCAAATTGAGGGTAAACATTAGTATCAATCTACTTGTCATCATGTTCTAGACTGTATAGCAATCATTAAGTGTAAAATTACACTAGAAATTAACAGTGATAAGAACTTAAAGAAAAATATGATTCTAAGTGTATTAATGGTATAATCCCACTTAAGAAATAAAAATTGCTGGGCTGGGTACCTTGCGTTTAATCCCTAACACCACAAAATATATGCTAATTTCTTGTAAAGTCTTTTAGCTTTGGCTGGTTTTTAAAATACTGCTTATATAAGCAATTTTATATGAGAAATATGTTACTAAAAAACCCAGCACAATAAAATTTATTTATTTTGCCCTTCCTCCTGATTCTGAAATGATTCTCAATTTATGCAGCCTTGGCTTCCATGCCATGAAATAAGTATATACATAGATGGCCAATCAAAGTGCCCCATTGCCCAGACACAAAGATTGGTAAATCAAAGTCCTGATGAGGAAAAAATGATTGTCAACTTCGAGAACAATATAAACCTCCACCACTGAGAATGAAACCAAAACAGATGAGAGCAAATGTGGGAGAGGGACAGAGAAAGCCAGAGAGAGTCCTGATAACAACATCTGAGTCCCCAAAACCATTTATAAAAAGCAACCCATATCTCCTGAGTTTCCTACAGTTTCTTACTTCTTTCTTTTTGCTTGAATTAAATTGAGTTGGAATTTTTATATTTGTAGCCTAGAAATCTCTTACATAATATACACAAACTCTAGTATCTTAAGACCAAAATAATATATTCTTAAGAAATAATATCCCAGAATATTATCTATCAGTTCCTTTCCAGGACTGCTTGGTTAAATTCCCTGCCTCTTTCAAGTTTTTTCCTAGATGCTACCATCTCAATGATACCTAATGCTGACAACCTTATTTAAAGCTGGTGTTTCCTTTACTATATAATCATGCACTAACAATACTGATTTAAAAACTACAAAATCTTATCTCTGATGTAGTTCATTAAGGCAGTGAGGAGGTGTTCCAATATAAAATGACATACCAGAACTAAGGAAAAGATATTACTTTTAAGGTAATAACAATATCACTTTTACCTTTTTTACTGGTGTTCTAAAATAAAAGCATTCATTCATGTTCTGATTATTTATTGAGGATATATAATATATCTGGTATTTTTCTAAGTACTTGGAATTCTTCAATAAACAAACAGGGAGAAAAAAAGTGCTCTGTGCAGCTTACACTCTAGTGGGAACAGATAACAAATAATAAACACAACAAATAAATAAACTATATAGACATCAGAAGATGGAAAATGATACTGGAAAATTGATGAAGGTAAAGTTATATTGGGAGTGTGAGAGTAAAGGAAACACCAACTTTAAATAAGGTTGTCAGCATAGGTATCATTGAGGTGGTAGCACCTTGGTAAAGACTTGAAAGAGGGAGGGACAACAAAGCAGACAACAAAGGAAGAGTGAGAAGGCCCTAGTTGGAATATAACTGGCATGTGTAAAGAAAAGTAGATAAATGGATGATCAAACGGGAATGTAGTTGAGAAAAGTTAGAAAAGTGATGGAGAATATGGAGATAATATAGGCTATTGCAGGATTTCATTGGGACTTTGAGAAAATTAGAAAACCCATAAATATTGTTTATAAAATAATTTTGGCTGCTTTTAAAATACTGCATCAAATATATCAAATAACTAACTACATTGTAATGTCTTGGCACATCTATATATTAATATTTTATAATACTTGTCTAAATTCTTTGTGACAAAAACTGTCAATTGTCTGACAATATTCATTTCTTCCTTAACTTTTAACCAAAGCATAGAGCTGCCTAAAATAAAAACTAGCAGAATGGCAGTTATTAAGAACACAAACAATATAAAATGCTGAAGAGGATGTGAAGAAAAAGCCACATTTTTACACTGCTAGTGAGATTATAGATGAATACTACCACTATGGAAATCAGTATGGAGGTTCCTCAAAAGACTAAGAATGGAACAAGCATATAACCCAGCTATATCACTCCTTGGTATTTACCATATGGAATTAATGTCATCATACTAATGTGATACGAACATACCCATGTTTATAGCAGCATAATTTACAATAGCCAAACTAAAATCCACCAATGGGAAAATGGACAAAGAAAATGTCCATAAAGAAAAATGAAATTGTGTCATTTGTAGGAAAACTGATGTAACTTGAGAATATTATGTTAAGCAAAATAAGCCAAACTTACATAGAGAGGAAAAAGGGAAAGAAAGATGGAGGAGGGTTAATTTTCTGTGTTTCTTATGGCTGTGTAGGGATAAATGAACATGTTCTAACCAATGACAAATTAATGAAAATGAACAGCATGAGTGTTTTGCACTAGGTTTTCCTTCTCTTTGCAAACAAGAATGAAGACATAATGGCTGTCTCTGGATTGGTCACCTTTAATTTTAATATGATGCTAGGGAAGAAGGACATGCTCAAGGATAGAAGGGGTTTAAATCTCAGACAATCATTGAGTACCACACCAACCCTGGACAACTTACCTTCAGACTTTTTAAAAATATTTTTTTAGTTGTTGATGGACCCTTATTTTAATCATATATTTATATGCAGTGCTGAGAATCAGGCCCAGTGCCTCACATGCGAGGCAAGCACTCTACCACTGAGCCACAACCACAGCCCACCTTCAGACTTTAAAATAAGAAATAAACCTGTACCTTTTCAAAAGAGTCTTACTTTGGGTCTCTGTTACATACAGTTGAACCTATTCCTGAAATTCTTGATATTATCTTGGACTAAGCTGCTTTCAAGAACCAAAAAATATGTGGTATCAACTTAGAGCACAGAAATGTAGAGACATTGTAGGACAGCTTGAAATATAAATTTAACTCAGAGTTCAGTAATTTGGGGCTTTGGGCCTTGTAGGTTTGAAGGATATTGCTATATTCAAAACTGAACAATTTAAAGTAGCACTCTAAAGCAGCATCTTTGGAGATAAGATTGGGGCTCCAGCCTTTTAAAATTATTTTCCTCTAAGAATTCTGTGTTACTCAATAAAAAAAAAAGCAGCTGAAGCAGATCACATTAAGGTTTGTTGTATTTGGAAGTTTTACATTCATGACTAAAAGCAAAGATATTTTGTTGGTTAAAGGGTAGGATTGTGGAGGAAACTGTTAGGTGTTCTTTAAAATCTGTTTTCTTCTTTATAAATTATAGACATAGAATATGCAGCTAAAGCCCTGTGCCTTTTTGGTATAGTAACATCACCATTTGACCAAGTTCTGGTCAGCTGAAGGTAAGCAGAACAGGTACATGTGACTTCTAGGATTGGTCACTTTTATCCTTCCTTGTGCCTGAAATGTGGTCAGCTAAAAACTGGAACAGCCATGTAGGATCTGGAAAGGATCTTCTGTGACTTTGGGAATAGAAGGTACTCATAGCAGAATAAGAAGATGAAAGCATCTTAAAGCAGCATGCAGCCTTCCAGACTTTTATATGACCTAGAAATAGTCCTTTTCCTTACTATTCTTTAATATTAATTTTTCTTAACCTCCTATATATCCTGTTTATCCCCTCCCAGTCACCACACCTTTGTTCATGCTATTCTTACACTGTGAAAGATTTAGAAGACTAGAAAGCAACTTGTTATAATGAAATGGACTTCTTTGTTCCATTTTCCAAAGTTCATGCTTTACTTGGTTGATTATTTAAAATTAAGAAAAAATTTTCCTATGTGTTCTGATCAGATTTGTGACCTCCCTGCCACCCCCCCCCCAATTTTCAAGAATACAAGTAATGCTAAATGTTGGTGAGGATGTGGGGGAAATGGTACACTCATGTTGTTGGTGGGACTGGAAATTGGTGCAACCACTCTGGAAAGCAGAATGGATATTCCTCAAAAAACTAGGAATGGAACACCATTTGATTCAGTTATCTCACTCCTCTGTATATATCCAAAGAATTTAAAATCAGCATACTAAAGTGACACAGTCATATCAATGTTTAAATTACTATACATACTAAATTTACATACTAAATTCACAATAGCTAAGCTATGGAGCCAATCTAAGTGCCCTTCAACAAATGAATGGATAAAGAAATTGCAGTAGATATACACAATGCAGTATTACTCAGCCATAAAGAAGAATAAATAACTTCACGACTTTTCCTGGTAAACAGATGGATCTGGACAGTATTGTGCTAAATGAAATAAGCCAATCCCCAAACAACCAAAGGTTGAATGTCCTTTCTGATATGTGGAAGCTAACTCACAATAAGGGAGGGGGAGATGGAAGTTCAGAGGAGCAGACAAAAAGTAATGATAGGAAGGGAAGTGGATAAGAAAAGGAAAGACAGTGGAATGAATCTGACATAAATTTCCTTTGTTCATATGTGAATGTTTCATAGTGAATTTCACCATAATTTACGTCCACAAGAAATTAATTTTAAAAAAATCTGTGGGTAAATGGCAGAAAGCTAAGAGAGGGAATGGAGCAGAGGTGAGAAGGGGAAGGAAAAGAAGGGTTATTGGGGACTGAATTAGAACAAGATATATTCCATGCTTTTATAAGTATGTCAAAATGGATTCCATTTATAACTAAAAAGAACCAAAAAATGTTTATGAACCCTGAAATTCTTCTGTCAAACTAATCCTCAATGTAATAGTATTAAGTCAGGCCTTTGGGGAGAAATTATTAAATCATGAGAATAGGCCCCTTATGAAACGGATTAGCACTCTATCAAAGATACTCCAGAGAGCTAGCTAGCTCCTTTTCACAATGGAAGGAAACACTGAGAAAGTATCATCTATGAGGAAGAAGGTCCTCACCAGACACTGTTAGTGCCTTGCTTTAGACCTCCCAGCTTCCAGAATTATAAGAAATAAGTTTCCACTCCTTACAAAAGTTACCCATTTAAGGCATTTTGTTATAGCAAATAGACTAAGATACTAA